CAAGATGGCTGCCAGTCGGCCATTTTGAATTGAATCGCTAAACCAATGCATGTGCATATGTCCCACATAAGGTACAAGGCACATGCAAAGAATGAACGGAGAATCGGTCCACAGGATTCTGAAATATGACGTTGGATAGACTGACATACGGACAGACGGACACACAGACGGTCGGACAGACAAACTCAGGAACTCACGGACGGTCGGGGACATGTATCCTAACATGTATGATCTATGTACTAAATTTGAATGAAAACTGACAAAGCATGTCCAAAATACGACATTTTCAAAAAACAAGATGGCTGCCAGTCGGCCATCTTTGATCCAATTGTGAAATAAATCATCATGGACATGTATCCTAACATGCATAATCTATGTACCAAGTTTGAATGAAAACTGACAAAGCATGTCCAAAATACAACATTTTCAAAAAACAAGATGGCTGCCAGTCGGCCATTTTGAATCGAATCGCTAAACCACTGCATGTGCATATGTCCCACATAAAGTACTAGGCACATGCAAAGAATGAACAGAATCGGTCTAAGGGATTCTGAGATATGACTCCGGACGGACGTACGGACGCACGGACACACGGACGGACGGAGACCGAATTATAAGTCCCCGTTTTCGGACTTCATCCGAACGGGGACTAATAAAACAGACATACTCCTGTAAAAGTAAAACCCCTGGATATTTGTTTTTTAATCTAAGGATGAGAGTAGCTTATACAGGTTATATATAACCTGTTGATTACAAAATCGGCAAATAAATACATGTGTCAACAACTAAAATAATGATTTCTATTTATTTTACCTTTTTGACAATATTTTTCCCTTTTGGGTTCTTGCAATATTCTAATTTTTATTATTATAATAATATATGGGTAATATGAACACTGGAGATTTGAACTACATGTAATTTGTATTAGTATTTTTCAAGTTACAAATAAAATTAATTCTTGGAATTTTTAGCAGTAGATTGAGTTATTAGTTTGCAGTAAACAAATTCAGCTGTAGTTTTCAACCTCTATTACAAGCACATGTGTGCATTAAAAGCATACATGGAGCAGTGTGAGTTGGGTTTACCAAAATTGAACCTAAACACAATTCCACATGTACCTCTATTGGAGACATGCTTCTAATAGAACTTATATACAAATCAACAAATGTGACTTTAAAATGGTGCATGCTGGGAAGAGAACATCATAAATGAAAACAAAAATATTATGACCATACTCACAATTGCACCAATGGCTGCAGCAGCTGATCCACCACCAGGGGCTGAGGATCTTGCTCCGACGTTTAAAATAAATGATTTCAAACTCATGGATATCAATGGACCTTCAGTATCATCACGGATCATGTATCTAAAGATAATATGAATAATTTAACTGAGCAGTAGACAACATATGAAAGAAGTGCTAGGAAATGAAACATTACTTATTAGTATTTCAGAGAGCAATGACTTATTTAAATGTGTCAATTGAAGTCGATGTAGTTAGTATGATGGTAGATTACATCAGGAGAGTGGCGTTACAGTTCCCTCTGGTGGTATAATGGCTGATACAAGACTTATGTTCGGCTGGCACTCATATGACGGACATGATATAAACTGGAGATAGTTTATTCGCATGTCTTTTGACTATTTGTAAGATTGATGCATTAAGGTCCCATCATGTTCAATGTATGCAATAAATTAGTACAAAATATGTACAAACAAGACCATAGAAGATCAAGATTTGATGGCAGAAGTGATTGATTTTAATGCATTTTTACATTAAAAAGGTCACTATTCAGCCATCTTGAATTAGATCATGAAACGAATGGATATGGTAATGCATAATATACATTTATGATGCATGTGTAAAGTTTGAATGTGATTGCTAAAGGCATGTCACAGATATAAACCTGGAACAGCAAAAATAAAATGACTGCTAATTGGCCATTTTGAAACTTGATCTGGACAAAAAGTGATGTGCATTTAAAACCTATTATGTTCAATGGACAATCCAAGTTTGAATGAAATATTTACATTCACGACTGAGATCTGGTCCCAGAATGGCAGAAACGCTTGATTTTGTTGAATTTTTATTAATTAGCTCGGTCACAGTGCAAATGTTTTTTTTATTGAAGTGAAAACATTATGCAAATACTGCAGACTAAAAACAGAAACGAACAAATTATGGTTGGAATCTTAATGTCTATTGTAACGAGTGAATGGAAAGAAACACAGAAGTGTAATTATACATCACCATTTTTTAGACTACGTCCAAAGGGGTACTAATAAACAATTAGTAAATACCCAATCTGATTAAAATCTGATGTAGTGTACAGGCTTTAATTATTTTTGCTATAAACTTATTTTAATTTAATTTTTTATTACTTTTGTTATTAATGTCTTTTTATTTTGTTATTATTTTACTTTGATTTTTTTTTTTTTTTTTAATTCCGCCCTACATACATCTGACCCAATGCCTATGTAACGAGATTTCAACGAGACCCACTATCGACAATTTTAGTCACCGAATCACAGACCTCCTTCTATAGCGCACATGATGACGTCAATTGATTCTTTGTACAACTGGTAACCAATGAAGTTTAATAAAAATGTCTGTAATGTGGTCATATTTTCGAGCACGAGTGACAAGGCAGGCTGCTGCATTTTGTACACGAATAAGAGGTTTTATCTTAGTTACAGGGAGACCAGACAATAATGAATTACAGCTGTCTAAGCGAGAAGATATGAAAGCATGTACCAACTTTTCAGTATCAGATTGGGATAATGATTTACGAATACGATTAATATTTCTTAGATGGGAATATCCAGATCTACAAATAGTAGGAATGTGTGTTTCCATAGACACCTAAGTTTCTAGCACTTGACGAAGCACTAACCAATTCTTCACCAATTGCGATACTAGGCAAAGGACACGAGTCTTGTGAGAATCTCCAAGACAACATGCACACAAATTCAGTTTTCGACACATTCAAAAGTAGGAAATTACAAGACATTCAATCGCTAACATCCTAAATACATGTCTGAAGTATCACCTGGGCGTGAATTTGATCATCTTCAGAAACCGATAAATAAATCTGTGTGTAAAAATGATATTTTACGCCGTGACGTCGCAATAACTCGCCCAATGGACGCATGTACATTGAGAACAATAATGGCCCTAAAACGGAGCCCTGCGGAACACCGGTTTCTAATATAGACATCATATCAGAAAATACATTTCCAATTTTCACTTTTTGAATGCGGTTACTCAAATACGATTCAAACCATTTGATGA